CGCTCCGGCCACTGTGGTCATTGGCCTAAACTACCACATTTAGTTCATTGGGGGGGAGGGTTGTTGTTGCTGTTTATGGGGTTGGTGTGTTGTAGAAACTGGTATACATGACTAACATAAGCAGCAATAACATAAATTTGGTTTATGGATTCCAACAACTTACCCATGCATTTTATAGACCCCCTTAATTCATAATCTTCTTTGTGATAATGTATGTAGACCTGTACGCCTACTGATATCTGTTGTAATGTGGGCTGCCCCCATAAATACTTACATACATACATAACCATTAGTTGTTTGCTCTTTCATTCCAGTGCATTCATGGAAACGTCTGCCAAGTCTAAAATCAATGTGTCAGAGGTGAGTACTACATATATAATAGTACATCCTGAAAGTCTTTGAATGCAAAGCGTTCTAACCTTTCTATGTATGTCTGAATGCGTTCGGACGTTTAATAATTCATACATAGGCACATGCACATGTACGCGGATGCAATAGCGCTCAATCTAAACGCACATTCATGCATGCATACAACTCTATGCGCTGCTTGCGCGTCGATTCAACCACGCTGTGCTGCTCACGCTGATGTAGTAAGCGTTGGATTTGTCTTTCTCCCGAGCCACGACGCCATGGAGAAATGCTGCAGTCCGCCATGAGGTACACCAATACAAAAGTGAACCTTTATGCAACTGCACTCAAACCGGTTTTACTGGGGTACAAACTAGTTATACTTGGCTTGCAGTTATATGCCCTAGTGCAGGAATGCAATTATTACCTGAGGGACGTTTAACTCACATGCCACCCTTACCAGCCTGTTGTAACTAATATACTTAACAAAATATTGTGAAATATTATGTTGTTGAACTGCTGTTCTATTAAACTTAAAAGCACTGTACTGCTACAACCTCAGGGATTTTGTTATTTTCAATGAGTTTGAGAAGAAGTAGAAGTTTTCATGGTTTGCAGTAGCTAACTAGCTTTGCAGTAGATGAAACTAACATGGAGTGGTGTTGTGTAAAAGTGTTGGACAGTGATAGTCAGGGGAAATAATGTATGTGCAATGTTGCCCAGTCCAATATTCTGAGATCATACATAGAGGTTGATGCACATCCATAAAATAGCTTTGCAAAACCAAGATGAAGGGTTATGTAACTATACGTATGTACGCATGTTCATAAAACAGGTGGCAGCGTCTCCAGATACCATACACAAACGCAGTGCTCACGCACACTTGTCGGTGCCACTAATTGGTGGGAGTGGATTGGCCGGCTACGCAATACATGTCAGTGTGAGTCTTTTGCGTTTTCTAGCAGCAAGCTGAGAGTCTGATATGGGCTTGCTACACTGGGAAGTGTATACGTGCACAAATTTCCTCTGCGTAATCAATGTCAATCCGACTTCCGGTGAGTTTCTCGGGCTCTTCTTCATGAACTGAGCGATGTTGGGCAAACAACTCTGCAGCGGTTCTATAGACCCATGCATGGGGTCTTGATACTCCAAGTTTCAGGTTGCAGTCTTTTCGCGTCTTTCCTACAGACCCCACTGCACGCAAGAGGTCCGACTGCAGTCTGCGCAACACCCAGGGCACTTTTTGTGCCCCCTCTTAGCTCCACGAAACTTATACCAGGAGTGGCTAATGAACTTAGAAATTCCATGATCAGTGTGAGTAGATGCGATAAATAAAATACCATAGGCATTATGATAAACATTTAAATTCACTCGCTGTCCTGCAATTCTAAAACAAAAGCAAGAAAGCAACAAGGCTATTTACACAGCTACTTGGATCGACAGTGTAAGGTAGCGGAGCGCTTATGTCACATTAGTTTGCTTATGCTTATGTTATTTGTCAAAAGAAGAATCCTCTTTCTAAACCAGGTACAAGCTTAAACGTGCAGTGCGCATTAAAATCACTAAGTACGGTAGTACTTAGTATATAGGGAATGTCATGGTACCTAGCATCATAGATGTATGGGGCTATGATAGGAGTTTTGTTCATTATCTTCTTCTTCTTCAACCAGCATAACTCAAAAACTGAAAGAGATAAAGCCATGAAATTTTGTAGGAGTGTACATATCCATAAACACATGTGCGACGTCATACTTTTTTGTTTGTAAACAATTCACTGTAAACAGCAACGAATAGCCCCAGGCATACTACATATGTCAGTGTAAATTGGTAAGAGCTACGTGAACGAAAGTTTGTATACATAATGTATCCGATAGCCAACATCAAAATCACAACAATACATGTTTGTAAATAACAGCAATTAGACTACGGTAACACGCAATTGACCAATCAGATTCCGAGTATAGAGGTAACTATTTTTGTTAGTTACTCCTTCCGCGGTAACTATTTTGCAGCCCTGCAGCACGTTTCTTACGCGTATTAGCCATGGCAACCACGCCTTCAATTCGAGAGACGCCGTGCGGGCTGAAGGCAAACGGCGCTTCTGGAGAGGTTCTTTCTCACGAAAACCCAGGTACTCGGTCTTCTAGTAGGAAGCGGTGCATGACTACAGGGCCCTAGCTACAGCTCGAGCCAGACGCGCACGCTAGCGGTGCGAGAAGCGCCCAGCGGCCCCACCTACTTTCGCGTTAGCGAGCCGTGCCGCCTAGAACAAACACTCTGTACTGCTGCTATAGCCTTGCTGGTATAGTCGTTGTACGCCTGCTCGAACTGGCTGCTGACAGCTGCAAATAGCCTGTCTACTTCAAGTTCGTCCTCAGCAAAAAGCTCCATAATCTGTGACCCCAGTAAGCTGTCCATCCTCAATGCTGCGTGCGTTGTTGTGTGTTGCTAGCGCTGTAGTCTAAGATGGTTAGATGTGTTGCCTTGGGAACTACGCAATTTAGTAAGCCTCGGGGCCCTGGTAGTAGCGTCCTCGCTGCGCTCGGGACGCCGACAGCCCAGGGCCCTCGGCTCACTAAATAGTGTAGTTCCTGTGGCTCCATATCTAACCTATACATAGCCTCAACACTTTTCTTTAAATCTACTTCTTCACTTCTCAAACTTTCCAATGGTAGCACGCATAGAGATGAAACTTGGTATGTATGCCTATTATATCATTTCCATGACGATTACATGTTTCCATGACGACCGCGTGATGTTTAAAACTAGTTCTTCACTCCTTAAACTTGCTAACTGTAGCACGCATGGAGGGGAAACTTGGTGCGCATGTGTATTACATCGTTTCCATGACAACCACAACAACAAATAGCCTCAGGCACTTTTCTGTAAAAATTATTCTTCACTCCTCAAACTTGCTAACTGTGCACAATTGGGCATTGAGACGTTAAATTTTTCATGCGCGCACGGATATACGGTAGCCTAATTTATTATTCATGAGTCTTCATCCGGTTGAAGCCAGTTTCCCAGCGATCGTTTCCACCACTTCCTTCCATGAGATCCCCGAACGGAAGTAGGATTGGCACATTCCTTACCTGTACTACACAATACAGTGGTATGCGCAGAGCCACAACACGTCCTTAGCAACTGAACGGCTGCTTATCTTATCATACCGCAAAAGGACCGCAACCAACCGCAGAGTTTTGACGTTTACACTGAAGCCCTGTTATTTTTTGCGTAGTACTACGCTAAAATTAGCTTGCATAAGAGTCAAACCGTTGTAAAAACAAAAGCATTTAGTGGCGCCACTCCAAATAGCAGGGAAAAAGCCAGTACAAAATATGTACAGGATACACAGGCTTGTCACAGCTATGGTAGACTGGCACAAGAAGCAGCTTGATCTCCACTGTCGTGTGTGTGGAGGAAGGGTCAAGAGAGCCAGATCTGGAATGGCCACTCGACAGAACACCTGCCTCTCACAGAAGAGGTCTCTGTGGAGTAAGATGACCATAGCACACACCCAACTTTTATGTGTTGCTCATGCTATGATACCATCGCTAAACAGCGACTGTGAGACGATAAGAGACCGGTTTGAACCATTGTTCACCCACTGCCACTCCATTTTTTGGACCAGAGTGAGGTCCACGATTTGGATAATCTATGTATTAAGTAATTTATGTACAAAAAGATGTGTTTATACATGCCCACCAAAACCACTGCAGATGAGGCCATAAAATCTTTCCTGTCCTACTATCGACGGGTGTTTCCAGAGGCATCAGTCACAGTCATGATGCACATGCTAGAAGAGCACCTCGTCCCCTTCCTTAGAGAGTGGCGTGGCATCGGGTTTGGCTTGATGGCTGAACAGGGGAGCTGAGTCTATCCACAAGGAGTTTAACTCCCTCATGCACCGCTTTGTGAACATACCTGACAGGGTTGAGCGCCTCAGGTGTGCATCATCTCCGCTGCTGTCCTGTAAGAGATGCAAAACCTCTGCCTAAAAGAAGGAAGAATAATGACATGTTTACCAATATTATAACGTTACAAGGTCTATATCTATCTGCCTACAGCAGCCCCGTGCTTTACAATACTAAAGCAACAGTGAGTAATATCTGAAAAAGTTACGACACAGTGAAACCTGCCGGCTTGTGATAGTCATTGAAACTCGAGGATCGTTGCGAACTTGACCGTAACTTGCTCGCCCTTCGTGGTAAAACCTCCGTACAAAAACGAGAGAGAGCCCCGTAGTCGACCCCTCGTGGCCATCGCGTTCTCACTGCCCCTTGCGCGTTCCTTAAACAGCAAACAGGAAGGCGAAGTATCTCATGAATATTCATATTTTAAAATTGTTGGCGGATGCGTTGCTAAGCTGACCGTGCGCTTACGTAACTCAATGGGCAAATTTTGTAATACGTAAACACCCCGTGTGAAACTTGGTGTGTATGCCTATTATATCTTTCCCATGACAATTACATGTTTCCATGATGACTGCATATTGTTTGAAAGAGCCTCAGGCAATTTTCCTTTAAACTACTTCTCCTCAAACTTGCTAACTGTAACACGCATGGACGTGAAACTTGCTGCATACATCGTTTCCATGACAAGCAAAAAAACAAATACAGTAGAAGTCAAAAAAAAAATTTCTAAAAACGTTCACTGTTTAACCGTTGAACGGCGTTCGCCGTTGTACCGTTTATCCGTTTCCGGCTGAACGCCTTTCTACTGTTCAGCCGTTTACTGTTCGCGTGAAACTTACTACGCCGTTTAACCGTTTAACCGTTGCGTCGGCCGTTGCACCTGTATGAAAGCGTTGACTTGCTGTTCCGCGTCCTCAGTTTCGCGATGCCGTACTCCAACTACCTCAAACAGCGAGTTCTGGTCCACCACGATCACGGTCTCTCTCCCCGTGCTATAGCCGTCGCGCTAGCCGGGGAAGGAATGAGCGCCACACGCCAGGGCATCGCGAAACTGTTAGCACGGTACAGCAGAACTGGTTCGCTCGCAAGAGCGGAGGGGAGCGGTCGCCCGGCGAAAGTCTCACCCACCGTCCAGGCCGTCGTGGACGAACAAATGCGGACGGACGACGAAACTACAGCGGTCCAACTCTGTGCCATCCTTCAGGCAAAAGGCTACGCACTATCTCTGTCTACCATCTTGCGTAGCCGCTCAGCGCTCGGGTGGACCTTCCGCGGCAGCTCCTACTGCCAAATGATCCGCGGGCCGAACAAGGGGAAGCGGTTTAGAAAACGCCAACGGTGCGGCATACAATAGCGCCCTAGCTAGCTACATATATACTTAGATAGCTCGCCCGCGCTTGCTTGCCAAACGCCGGGGTGATGCAATGCGACGCATTCAACCACGCGTACCTTCCTGCGCAAAACAGGCAAACGGACGAACAGTGAACGCATGAACGGTTACCCGTTTCCGTTTTCCCGTTTACCCGTTGGAACGCCGTTCAACAGTTAAACGGTGAACGTTTTTGGAAACGTTTTTTTTTTTACTTATATTGTAGCCTCAGGGAATTTCGTAAAAACGACTTCTTCACTCCTCAACCTTGCTAACTGTAGCACACATGGAGGTGAAACTTAGTACACATGTGTATTACATCGTTTCCATGACAACTACATGTTTCTATGATGACTACATATTGTTCAAATAGCTTCAGTCACTTCTCCTCAAACTTGGTAACGGTAACATGCATGGATATAAAACTTGGTATGCATGCATGTTACATCATTTCCATGACAACTTCATGTTTCCATGATGACCATATATTGTTTGAACAACATCAAATAGCTTCAGGCAGGCACTCTTCGATCCTCAAACTTGCTAACAGTAGCACTCATGGAGATGCAACTTGGTACGAGTGCGTATGACATCGTTTCCATGACAACCACATATTATTTGAAGAACTACAAATAGCCTCAGGCATTTACTTCTTCACTCCTCAAACTTGCTAACGGCAGCAGCACACATGGAGATGAAACTTGGTACGCATTCGTATTACATCATTTCCATGACGACGACGGCTGGCTCGAGCAGGCAGGAGACGGTTGCTATATATGCATGCTGAAAACCAACTTACCAATATCGAGAATCAACGAAAACTCGCAGACCCTGAAAACGCCACAACAAAGCTAACAGCCAAACTCAACTCGAACGACAAAAGCTTCTCTGTTGCTTTTTTGCTAAGTCAGCGGGGCGTGGCTGTCTGCACTCACGTGAAGATGACTGAGCTAGCGAGACACTGCCAGCGCAACGAATGCCAGCGCCCTGGATAGTGTTTGGCTTGTGTTTCATACTTGGCAATGGATTTAGACCGTAGTCCTTGCAGGTAGACGCTTATGGAGTGTGGCAGTAGAGTCTACCAACTGTCGGTTTGTATCGGCCGCCATTTTGTAAGTGTGTCTTTGTTGGGCAAACTCCAAAAACGTCAAAAATAAAATTTGCCCCTACCAGTACAGCCCCTTTTATACGCGAACTGCACGTTTAAGGCAAGTAGTGGATCTTGTTGATATCCATTGAGATGGGAGGTATAGGTGGAGAATTGTTAACCCTTGGAGCGCATGCGCAGCGAGGGTTACGGTAGTTGTGGTGTCTGTCTGATACCCGACATCTCACTCCTCGAGGCATGAATCGCTCCACAAACAAAACCACGTATTCAGCATTGGGTGTAGGTTGAAAAATATGTAGGATTTTCTCAGAAACTGATGTGTTGGATAGTTACGGCGTGAAACAGGAGCGAAAAAGCCAATATGCTAAATAGAACAGGCTTACCTCGACCGGGTCCGCTTGCTCTGTGTATCTTTAAGGCACAGGAAGTCGCAACGAAGGGCATATATCGACTCCCGCATGCTTATCTACTGCTGTAGCTAGCCCGTGTCAGACTCTCCGCGAGCTACTTGCGGGAGACCACGAATAAACATTATTTTAATAACCCAGCCCATGAATTAGCGTGTTTGTGTGCTCTTCTCCATCAATTAGCAGTACTACGCATGCGCAGTTCGCCGAGGGTTTGTACTTTAGTGCTTTTCATTAAACCTCGGCGTGCATGGGCAGCGAGGGTTACAGTAGTTGTCGTGTTTTTCCTTCTGTCAGTCAGTCTGTCTGTCTGTTACCTGACATCTCACTTCACGAGCCATGGATCGCACCACAAACAATACTACGTACTCGCGTCGGATAAATGTTGAAAAATATGTGAGGGTTTCTCTGAAACTGCTGCGTTCGTGAGTAACGGCGTGAAACACGAGCGATAAAGCCAATGTGCTAATTTGAACAGGCTTACCTCGCGAGGGTCCGTTTGCTCGAAGGCACAAGAAGTCACAGCGAAGGGTGTGTATCGACCCCCGCATGCTTATCTACTGCTGTAGCTGGCCCATGTCAGATTCTCCGCGAACTACTGTATTAGCGGGAGATCACGAGTAAATGCATACATTAGCGGTACCGTGCATGCGCAGTTTGCCGAGGGTTTGCACTTTAGTGCCTTTTCATTTTAGGGGTATTGCTAGGTGAGTATGCAGATATCAGATGGTGCTTCCATATTACTGTAAACTTGCGAAGTGTCAGGAATTAAATCAAGCAAATCATCAATTAGTATTTTCTTTAAAATTGACATTCCAAAAACTATTGTAAAAGAGTACTCCATTGTCAATCTTAAAACTTTTTTGAGAAATTTGTCGTGTCTTATTGATGAAATTGTTATTACGTCGAAAACGAGGCACATGATGCAGCCTATGCGAATAACTTTTGATATTTGTAGGAGGAAGGTCTTTAAATAGAAGACATGCGTTCTACAGTGTTAGTTCGACAACTTATTGTGAGCTAAAAAATTCTTACATGCCATGTTCCACTACATTACATGGAATAGGACTTGTAGGAATTTTTGCCCCCCAAGAAATTGTCAAAACTAATGAGCATTTTTTCCGCTCCCATAGAAATGTGTGGGAGAGAAATCATGAAAATATTATTAATGATGCATTAAAACAAAGCCTAAAAATAAATTCTCTTGTTTCTTGGCATGGTTGAACCCCTGAAGTTTCAAATAATCATCTTTTACCCCTTAATTCCGCTCCCATTGAAAGGCAACTTACGAATATATTAATAAGGCTTTTAAATAGCCTAATATCTATTTTTGTTCCTTGACATAGTAAAATCCAGGGTTTCCCGCAGCATTGTAACTACCTGGCGCTCTGCCCGGATTGAAAAAGGGCGTGTGCAATTATTGGGCACGTTTAAAATACGATTACACTGTGCACAGTTGTGTGCTGCTTATAGAGTAGCACTTGAAAGGCTTTAGGCCTGTAGGAGATTTCCCAGCAGGTTGTAAGGTGGAGTAGCTTTTCAGCCAGGAAGCATTTGTTGTGGAGGTAATTAATTCATAAGCACCCTGTTTCAATATTACCCTGTGGCAAACACTGGAATCAACCCATGAAATATGCTTTACCCCCTTGTGTGCAATTGTGTGATGTAATTAAGGACTTCTACATGCATTGGGAATAAAACACCCGTACTAATACAGGCCTCACAAACACATACAAAAATATAATATGCATGAATCACTCGTTTGCACCCAAAAACTCATGAGTTTGTACTTATTGTTACAGTCAAAACACTAATTGCAATATGCATGCGTATATACAAGGAATATTTGTGTATGAAGATTCTCTTTTCTGGGATTTAGATTTTCAAATTCCTTTGGTGTGGGTGGTATATAACATTAACTCCCCTGATTTTATTTTTCAGATATTTTATGATTTGGTGCGACAGATAAACTCCAAAACACCAGAGAAGCCAGAAAAGAAGAAGAAATCCAGATGTCTTCTTTTGTAACTTGAACCGCTTGCAGCACTGAATTATGTAATAATTATTATGCATCAAAGGTTTTATTAGAACTGTGTATCATAGTGTATGCTGTTTTAACCACTGTTAGAAGTTGCTAAATGAGTGCTATATGTGTTTTGTATGGATAAAGCAGTTTTTATAATTAAGAGAGTGATCTTATACCGTGCCACATCTGTTTTTGCCTCTTCACATTCTGGATAGGGCGAGGCCTCTCCACCTAGGAGCAATTGTTTAGTATAGCTACAAACCACTCCAAAATCTTTGCACTGTGGGATAATCTCATAGTCACCACAGTTAATGCCCCTGGATCTATCTGCAATGAACATGATTGATATACCACAACTTTCTGTTGATGGCAATTATTTCATCTCTAAACAAACTAATGCATTGGCTATGGTAGCACCTTTTGCTTCCACCATGGCTAATTATTTACATGTCTGTTATACAACCTAATAATTGCTAAATTAAGAAGGTAACTCTTCTTAGATCCCGGTGATTTGAAATCGCGCAATTTCATTGGTCCAAACGCGGGATCTATTTTCCGTAGATCCCGCTGCCCCGGACGACGGGATCTATTGGGGAGCGAGCGTGAAGACGCGATAGGTAAGAGACTCGAGCGAGGTTTCAGCTACCAGCGGCGAGCCAGAAACGGTAGGCGAAAGCTACAGCACTCCCTCGTCGTCCGCCGTGCTTCGCGGAAAAGGGCTCCGCCCACTCTACGCGCACGTATCTGCAGAGCGTTCGAGGATTGGCTCGCGGCGAGCATGAGTATGTCGAGTTCCTTCTCGGAGTCTTCCTGGTCTAGACAAGATAGTATCTCGTCGCTGAACAGCTCGCCTGGCGTGGCCATATCTTTGCAAACAGTTTGAATGGATCTAAACCGGTTAGACGCGTCGCCACGGTAACTACGCGTTGTAGAGTGCCTCGGGCTCCCTAGTAGCGCCCTCGCTGCGCTCGGGACGCCGACAGCTCGGGAGCCCTCGGCACTCTACCACGCGTAGTCACCTCGGCTCCGCATCTAACCTATATTTTTAGTGCATAGTGGTTTTAATTTGAGAAATCTTATTGGTCCACACGAGGTACTCCATTTCCATTGTATGCTCCGTAGTAAACCTTGGTTTCCATGTACAATTATAAAGCGACAAGACAACTTTGTAATCTGATTGGTACATATGAGGTATTATTAGCGAGTAGGAGCGAGGTAACCTAGTGGTCTGAAACAGCGCGATTTATAGGACCGTACATCGTCCAACTGCGCATGACGCGCTTCTTTCACTACAAAAACGCTTTATGGCATTCTCTGGCTCAGTGTATATCAGTACAAATGCACAAAATATGTGATGTACAGATAACCCACAAACATAGCACAAGTATTCTTGGGTTTTGTGTACATCACGTATTTTTAAGCACTTGTACTGACATACACTGAACCCATAAAACTTGAGCGTTTTTGTAGTGTTCTTATCCAAAATTGTTTTACACACTGCCAACTGTACTAGCTAGCTTGATCCTCGATGTGCATCTTAGCCATGGAATCGACAGCATTGCACTCTTCGGTGCCTGACCGAGGCTGTACCTCTGTCCAATATTTGTGGTTCCAAGGTGCAGGTTGTGGATGGCTCGTGCAGATACAGTCATTGTGTGCTCGCTCCCACCCACCAAAAATGCCATGTGTTGGGAAACGGACAAATTGAACTCTTATTACGCAACCCCGACGTAACATCGTCCTGTTTTACGCACGCTCTGGTAAGAGTTTGTGTAAAGTTTTCGCAAACGTTCGTTGAAACGTTTCTGTAAACGTTTACCTATACGCGAAAGTGTTCGAATTCGCTCTGGTAAACGTTTTCACAAACGTTTCAGTAAACCTTTAGCCAGATAAGCGACATAGCTAACTAGTGCATGCGCAGTGTGCTCGTGGTCGAAAATGAATGCCGGAGGAGACGATGATTGTCTCTCCCTCAAAAGTGGAGAAGGCGAAGGAAGCCATCGAGCTTCTAAGTTCTATTCCATTGTCCCAAGGACTGCAGTGGGGAGATTTTCTGCGAACGTTTCAATGGATAATGTGCATGCGCATGGAAAGAAGGCGGGGAAACTGGCTAAAGGGAAAATGTATAAACGAATGCTTCTCTGTAACGGAAGATGCTTTTTGTGTATTAGGAGAGGGCATCTGAGCGAAGACTGTCGATCCAACAACCATGAGTCTCCTAACCACACACACCCTACGTTTAGAAGGCGTAACAAACAAGGAGCTTGACACAACCCTGCGGTCATTTTTGTGAGTTAGAGTCACTAGGAATACAGACCCCGAACCGTGTCTGATCAGTTCGCTAGCACCATCAAAATGAAGGATGGTAGGTATGAAGTGTCTCTACCCTGGCACGAGCATCATGATCTGCTCCCTGATAACTATTACCTCAGTCACCGACGGTTGCATGTTCTCCTGCGGAGATTAAAGCAAGACCCAACTTCTTATGTGAGTATGATGCCAACATTCACGAACAACTTGAGAAGGGGATAGTGGAGTTGTTGAAACTCAGTGGGTACACCGAAAGTGACCCACTACCTGCCTCACCACGCTGTGATCAGTCGAGACAAGAAAACGACGAAGGTGAGTCGTATATGCCTCAGCCTGATCAAGTGGCCCCTCGCTTAACGACTGCCTCCACACTGGCCCGAAGTTCAACCAGAGATACTACTGCGATTCCGGTCTTATCCAGTTGCCCTCATTGCTGACATCGAGAAAGCATTTCTGATGATCTCCATGGTGCCAAAGGATCATGATGTCCTGCTATTCCTGTGGTTGAGGTACGCCTCCCAGGAAGAGCCTGATATTCTCAAGATGAGATTTACAACAGTAGCCTTCGGAGTTTCACCCAGCCTATTCCTGCTCAATGCTACGATCAAACATCACGTCGAGAAATATCTGATCTCTCATTCTGAACTCGTGAAGATCCTAATGGAGTCAATATATGTGGATGATGTAGTGTTTGTAGCAGACATGGAAGACAACGCCTACACTCTGTACACAAGTTCAAAGGAGATATTGAGTCATGGATCGTTCAACCTCCGCAAGTTTGTAACTAACTCCCCTTCGCTACAGAAGTTGATCGATGCCCAGAGGCAGCCCCAAAATTGACAAAGAACGCTGAAGTCCCAGAAATCGAAGCGTCAGAAGAAACATACGCTGAATCCACACAGCTGTCCTGATGAGCAGAAGGTTCTTTGAGTCAGATGGAATGTCACAAGTTATCAATTGGTGTCGAGCCAGGATGGCATAGTTGAGACCGCCACACAATTGGACCCAGTCTACGATCCGTTGGGATTTCTGTCTCCTGTCACAATACGCTTCAAGACACCGATGTAGGAGTTGTGTAAGGTCAAGTTGGGGTGGGACTAGCCGTTGGAAGGAGAACTGTTGAACAAGTGGAAGGGGCTAGTCAACGTTCTGAAGACCAACCAGCCAATCATGGTCCCTAGGTGCTCTTTCTGTAGCGTAAGGGACAAGACGCCAAACTACTGTTTATACAGCTTCTGTGATGCATCAATCACCGCTGTTTTCGTCTACCTGGTAGAAGAAGCCGATGGTCGAAGGTGCTCCAGTTTCGTCACTTCAAAGACTCAAGTAGCACCCCTCAAGGCCCTAACTATTCCCAGACTGGAATTGTTGTCCGCAGTTCTCTTGGCTAGGCTGATAACAAGTATATCCGAGAGTCTATCTACAACAATAGACCTGAGCGAACCAAGGTGTTTTACTGACTCCCAAGTCACACTCTTTTGGATCAAGGGTACTGGTAGGGGCAAAACCGAGTGAATGAAATCTGCAACCTCATTCCAGTAGAGTATTGGAATCACTGTTCTGGCAAGGAAAATCCTGCATCAAGGGAATTGACCCCACTCGAGCTGTCAGTCAATCAAATGTGGAAGAATGGACCAGGATGGCTGAAGAAACTGATCAATGTTGTTCCAGCACTAGCACTACCAGACGAAATTCCTGATCTATCTGTTGCCGAGTTGAAATCGAATAATCAAGGAGTAGTGCACAACTTGTTGACCACTCAACCTGTCAACAGGATTGGCCAGCTCATTGACATCGAACGGTTCAGCACTACTCAAAGGCTGTATCAAACAACAGCCTGTGTCCTCAAATTTGTATGGTTTCTGAGGAAGAAAGTAACGTCAGCAGAGCTTACACTGTGTGATTTATCCGAGGCTGCGAGGCTCTGGATCATGGACACTCAGTCCAGCATGATGCAAGACCAGATATTTCCGAGATGGAAGGTGCAATTCGGCCTCTTCCAACATGATTACCAAATCTGGAGATGTGGAGGACGACTACACAATGCAAATCTGGCATATTCCTCCTAACACCTCGTTCGGCTAGAAGAGGGCTACCGAAACGGATTCTCTCAGGTAATGCCAACACATTCAAAGCAGCCGCAAAGCTGATGGAGACCATTTTCAACCACAAGGAAGTGAAGGACTACCTGTCACATGTTGGAGTCCAATGGACATTCAATCTGGAGAAGGATCCATGGTGGGGTGGACTCTTCGAAATGGTCAAGTCTACTAAGAGATGCCTTAGAAAGATGATTGGTCAAGCAAAATTCTCCTACAATGAGATATATACTGCTCTCGTCAAGATTAAGGCCATCATCAACTCTCGTCCTTTCACGTTTCTGTATTCAGATGACACTGAAGAGCTCCTGACACCTTCTCGCCTCTTGGTGGGATGCAGAATACTGAGCCTACCTGACAACCTCACCTATTTTGCCGAAAATGAAGACTTCCAAGTCACAAGCGAGTCACTAAACAGGAGAGCTAAGCACTTGAACTGTGTACTTAACCACTTCTGGAAACGGTGGAGCAAGGAATACCTCCTAGAGTTGAGAGACGCACACCGACAACTTTTCTGGAACATCCACTCCCGTGAAGCCAGGCGACATAGTTTTGGTCCACGAACAAGATCACCATTTGGAAGGTGGCACGTGTTGACATACTGGGAGAGATGAACTAGTACGTGGAGCGGTATTGAAACCCCCTTCTAAGAATGGTGAACAGACTACTCTTCACTGCCCACTTCAGCTTGTTTATCCTCTAGAAATCACTCGATCTGAATCTCACCCAGAAGGGGGATGCGATGCAACACTGCAAGAAACCTCACCCGAGAACGACTTGACTGCAGGAGATCAGGGTGAACAACAATACTCACCTGAGATGTTTGTGTTTGTTGATGAGACGGGGGCGGACAGACGCAACACATTGCGAAAGTATGGCTACAGTATGCGTGGAAGACCTGCATTAAATCATTCTTTCTTGATTCGAGGGGAAAGAATATCTGCTATTTCAATACATGGACTGCTAGATGTCAAAAGTGTCAAGGGTATATACCAGTAACAGTGACACCACCTATGATTTTGTACAGGAAAATTTACTTCCTCACCTGATGCCATTTAATGGGATAAATCCTCATTCTGTTGTAGTACTAGACAATTGCGCTATACACCACACGGCAGAAGTAAAATCAATGTTAAAATGGATTGGGGTACTGGTCCACTTCCTTCTCCCATACACACCTAACTTCAACCCCATTGAGGAAGCTTTTTCCAAAGTGAAGTCCGACCTTGAGAGCCGCTTTCATAGTGATGGTACAACTGATGGAGAAACACTACTACTTACTAGTTTTATGAGTACAAGGCCACAAGTCATGGTTGGATAGCTCACCCAGGAATAGATTGATAATGAACTTTTCAAATGCAATCTCACACATGTAACTACCAAAAATCCAAGGAAATAATTCATGAGTTTACGAATTGAGGTAATGAAAGAGGTAATATATAGTTGTTTCTGCTCATGATACTCTTCTGCAGTAGAATGCCATCATCATACAGCTGCTGTAAGTAATGCAGCTGTTCATATTCTTCATGCGTAACTCCACTGATTGTCCAGGAGAAACACCACTTGGCACTACTGAAGTGGGCGGTTCCTGATCCTTATCCCTCTCCCTTTGAGAGCAGCAGCAAAGGCGACAGCAGCTACACTTATAGCATCAGACAAACTTTCCCTTCGAGCACGCTTCTGAGCGCTTCCTATAAATGCAGGTATTTCTGGGGGTATCATAATCACTGTGCAGACCCGTCGATATCATTCTTGCCCACAAACGAAGCCTTGGTGCATCATATTTACTCCCGTGTTTCTCACGTAGTTCCATATAGGTTGTTTCGGCTTCCCTCCCTCTCCTGCCGATATGAGCCTCCCGGTTGAGAGTCCAACTCCTTCTTTCGCTTAGGAGCACTATCAGTCGACCTGCCATCGCACCATAGCTATATTTCCACTGTTCGGATATTTCTTGGGATCAAGTGTAGAACGGACGGACCCAGCGCGCGCGCAACGACTTCCGGCCACACCCAAAATCACCCCACGCGATGCGCGCTAACTAATCAAGGCCACGCCCACCAATTCAAGCTACGGCATCAAGTCATACTAGCCAAGTCTCGGTCGGCCTGTCACACGAATATTAGTACCCCCCGGACCGTCCACAGCAGAAAAATCGATCCCCCTAGGACCGTCCGCTGCACCGCAGACGGTCCCCCCTGCCGCCCCTAGCCTATACTTTCTTTGTTTCTTTGTTCAGAGTTTGTTCCTTTGGTACAAATAAGTTGCCTAGCTATAAGCCCTCGCTGCTATAGCGAGTACACTGGCTCGCCGCTATCAGCCAGCAATCAGTTGTCGATCTTCCCCGCCCCCTTCTTTCTGCGCCGTAAATGCTGCTCGTGTGCTTATTCATACGGAATCAAAATTTTTCCACAACAAATCGTGAAACCATTCACTGCAGGTATTGCTTATTTTTGCACTGTAGCTACGATCAGTAGAGTAACGCGCGTGGGCGACGACGTGAACGCGCCAGCAGCGAAGTGAAACGGGGAGAAGACGTAGCTGTGTAGCAGTTACCGTCGGAAAACACATTGTGACGCGGCTCAGTGACACTCAAAGATGCTAAGATATAACAGACACACGGGTTCGCTTGATACTAGTGCATATTTCGGGTGGGAAACCGTGTGTGGCAGGGGGGACCAATTACGGCTGCCACGGACGTTCCGGGGGGACCAGTTTTGGCGGGGGACCATCGACGGCGTGACAGGCCATTATGTGCACATCCCTGCTACTGGTAACTGGTGCCGCCGCTAAAACGGGCGCTAGATTAACAGGTAGGCTACCGGCGACTGCAACCTGCTGAGGAAGTCCGGAGCGTTGAACAAGCTGCTGTAGAAGGCTCTGAGCTCAGCAGCAGCCTGCGCGTCCTTAGGATTCATCACACGTCACGTGTATATACGCTATGCATCTGACAGGAGCTTCCTGTCACATGACAGGAAGTTCCGCTGTATATACCGCTGTTCCCTGCAGAATCGCGCAGCTAGTGAGTTAGACAACTAGTATGAGTGTCCCTTTGCACCATGCATTCGCCTACTAGTACTTGATTTGCCATGGTCGAGTCCCGCCTATTGTTTTCGGGTGTAACGCCACGACCCGGCGACCAGACGTTCTTTTTCCCCCGGAATGTCTGGCCCCGCGAAACGACCCGGAACCCCGGAATCCCGGAACGTCCGTCACGCGGGACAACCCGCGCTAGTCTCTCACGCCTAGGGTATATACTCTGGTGTTGGCTGTTACTGGGGTTGTTCCTTTGTTGGTGCGTTCAGTTATGCTGATGATGTTGTATTGTTGGCTCCTTGTGCCTCCGCAATGAGAAAAATGTTAGAGATTTGCTGTTCTTTTTCTGCTTCACATAAACTTGAATTCAATGCAAGTAAGACACAACTAATATGTTTCTATGCCCCATCAGTCCGTCCGATCACTCCGACCATCTACCTCAATGGAACTAAGTTATCCTACTCTGATAGAGTTGTACATCTGGGTCATCTCTTTACGAGTACTTTGGACGATACTGGGGATATAATGAGGGCTGTCAAGGATATAAATCGAAAAGCAAACTCACTTCTATGTTCCTTTCACTTTGTTGACCCTCAAGTCAAAACATTTCTGCTTCAATGCTATTGTTTATCCCTTTATGGCAGCTGTCTTTGGTCACTCAATGCTCCATCAATTAGTATTCTTGAAGTGGCCTTAAACAAGATTCTACGCAAGATTTGGCATCTACCCGCTCGTTCACACACTGCTATTGTTCATTGTGTCGCACGGGTTCAAACCATTTCAAATATAATATATCAACGTTTTAAATCCTTCCTGGTAAAAGCTCTCTCTTCTTCTTCTAATCCCATCAGTACCATATTTACTGAGTCTGCTCATTTTGTTAACTGCTTCACTGGTTATAATTTTCACTATGGTCATTTACATGTTAGATGTTTTCATGATACTGATATTAGTATTGCATATGTAATCAGATTAGTTCGAAGTACTTTTGGTCTATTTTCAGACTTTGAGTCCCTTATCTCAAGAATTTCATGTCAGTAAATTTTATGTAGTCACTTTTGCAAGAATTATGATGAGGGGATCAGTGGTCGGTCCAGGAGCCCTTAAGCCCACGGATGGCGATGGGACAGAGTCCAGTCGGCCACTGGTCCACCCTCTGTGTTCCTTCTACCTCTCTCCCTCTGTTTCATTTTATGTTTGCACCTTTACAGGTGTGTATGACAACAATAATAATAATAATACCACCCCTACACACATTCCTGAGGGTATTTTCGGAAGCACCTGAAGTAGGCGTAGTACTAGTACTGTAGGCGAATGCACGGCATTATTGGCGAGCGGGAGCGAGCACGCAATGATTATATCCGCACGAGCCAACCTACGCTACTTACAACTTGCAGCTTGGAACCACGAAGATTGCAAGCCTCGGTAAAGCACCAAAGAGTGCAGCGAATGCCGCCGAATGGAAGAGAGTTTCTCTCCCTGGCGAACTAGCAGCAAGAGCGTGTAAAAAAAACTTGAAACGGATAAAAAGAAGCGCGTAATTCTGACACATGCGCAATAGCACGACGTACGGACGAACATAAGAAAAATCGCGCCGTTTGGATCACTAGGTTAGCTCGCTCCCGCTCGCCAATAACTAATTGGCGAGCGGGAGCGAGCCACCCTAGTCGTCGCAACGGGCCGATTTTTGTATTTATTGGCGAGCCTACACTACTAGATAGCATGCGAGAGGCGATACACGCCCTGCGTTGCATCTTCTGGTGCCTCCGAAGTACGCAGAGCACGCGGATCGATCCGACTGTGGTAAGCCATCCCGTCCGTTGTGTATTTGCATATTGGCTTTTTCGCGCTCTAGCTTTGCAACGGAGCAGTTTTAGAGAAAACCGTTCGAAATTTCGGACCTTCATTGCCCGTTCAGTAGGTGGTATCCTTTGTGAGACGAAAGAACACTCGAGAAGTGAGATGAAGAGTAACAGACAGACTGACAGACAGACTGACTGACAGACAGACAGACAGACAGACCCAAGTACTGTAACCCTCGATGCGCATGCGCGCCGAGGGTTAATGATGCATTTACCAAAATGAAAAGCACTGAAGTGCAAACCCTCGGCGAACTGCGCATGCGCGGTACCGCTCAACGATGGGCTTGGCTATTAGTATGCATTTACTGCTCGCGGAGAGTCTGACACGGGCTATCTACAGTAGTAGATAGCATGCGGGAGTCGATACACGCCCTTCGCTGTGACTTATTTTGCCTTCAAGATGCACAGAGCGAGCGGACCTGGTCGAGGTAAGCCTGTGCTAATTAGCATATTGGCTTGTTCACTTGGTTTTCACGCCATAACTCTTGAACGCAGTAGTTTTACGAACATCGCCATTTTTAAAATGAAGCCAGTGTAGCGCTGAACCTGTTGCTGTCGCTTTTTGGCCGGTTTGTTGCGCGTGGTGGCAGAAAACGTGGTTAACAGAGACAGACAGACAGACAGACACACAGAACGACTACCGTAACCCTCGCTGCGCGTGCGCGCCGAGGAAACAACATTTATATAATAGGCATGGTTCACGGCTCAACTGTCTGGCCAAGTTTTGAACCACATGCCATCTGTTCCAAAACTCATTCACAAATATGCATAGGTACTATATATGCCCACTATTATATAAATTTGCTGCAAAATTTAGGATATGTACGAAGACATTTATAAATCGACGACGACATTTATAAATCGACCATGACATTTATAAATTACAAAGTTACATTTCGTATGGTACAGTGGGTTGATCATGTTGGGAGAGAGGGACATCAATGTCCTGGATGGACTCCCATGGATTGGAGGGAGTAGGGAAGGTGGATTGGGGGGCGGTCCGTCCCAGAATTTTGGCCACCAGGTGTCGTGATTGGTGGAGGGAGCCGATATACGCTGCCGAGGCATGAACAGAGGCTTGCCGGAGGTTCAGCCAGCCCAGGGAGGAGGGCAGGGAGGCTTTAAGCCATGACCAGACTGGTAGCGGTCTTCCAGCGATGTCTGAGAGGGCGTCTCCCATCAGTTGTCGAAGGACCCTAGGGCTTTGGGATGAGACTTTAAAAGGGCAAGTGCGGAGCACACGCGCCAGCTTTGGTAGAGCCAAACAGGACCTGAGGAGGGTAGATCGTGAAGCCTAGCGACTGTCTCCTTTACCGTACGTATTCTTTTGGTGGAGGGGCCGATTGGAGAGCGGAGTAGAATGAAGCCGTGGGGATGTCACGAAGTAGTGGATGGGAGACGAGGGTGTTGGCCGGGGTGTAAATGAGGGATTTGCTCCTGGGAAGAGCCCACGGGGTGACTCGATATAAGTGAACTTAGCGTTTACGCGCGTGCGCTTATATGTACGTATTATTAGCGTCTAGGCACCAGAATAACGTGAACTAACTGAGCCCCGGCGATCGCAAATGGAACCAGAAACAAAAGGTATAATATTATGATATTTCCGTAATTGAGTACTCCCTAGTCTTAGTCTTGGTATATACCAGAAGGGCGAGGGGCTGGTACCGAGACTACAGGGACTTGCCCAGTTACGACACAGTTACTTGCCCAGTTACAAAATCTGGCGGAAGGTGAATTGTTTAGAGGCCCCTTGTCGCCCACATCGCTCACGATCGGAGCCGTCCGACATCGCTTTGTGTCGCTTGCCGCCTATCCCCCCCCCCGTAATGGTATCACCCCGGTAGGTAGGAGATGATTTTGGGTTACTTCTTCATGTATTATCGGGTATTGGAATTTGAGTAGTACTACTACAGTACATAGGTTATACATTGAGCACAGACAAAGGATATTCCCAGTCTGGCATGGCCGAGTGGTTAAGGAATAGGGTAGGGGCTAGGGTCTGTTTTGCCATACAGATGGTTCACACACTACTGTGAAATGGATTCCGCGGTGTGAGAACGAGGTTACACGGCATAGGCAAAGCAACAAAGCCTGGGAAACTCGTTTTCCAAAGAAAAAGCTATACTTAGTAGGATTCGTACCTTAGGACAATGAGCTACATATGGCAATTAAGCACAATACAACACGAAAAATCCAAAACAAATCCCAAAGAACTCCAATCGTGATCCATCTCTTTGTGCTATGCAGAGTATAGTCCTACTCTGTATGTGCATAGGAACATCCAGGGGGAAACGATGCAGCAATACCCAGCATGTAAAGCACACTTTGACTTCCCAGCGCTGAAATTTTCAACGTAGAAGTCTCTCTCTTTATCTCTAGTATTAGTCTCTCTAGTAAATGAAGCTAGTCTCGACAGGGTACAAAAGAATGTGTTGCGTCTTGGCACCCCTATATCCCAAGAAATGTAGACGGTTACTGAGTTTTTAATTGCTGTTGGAAGTACAAGAGCACATAAAGCAGACGACGGATTGCATCGGTAGTTAATTTTTTCAACCACCCTTTTCTGAAACTGCTGTCGTCTTGTTCTTGTGCTTAGTCTCCATTTCTCCTCTTCGTAATAGTTTTCTCGCTCCTTTCCCTTACCTTTATGCCTCCTGCTGCACTCCCCCTTTGTGACCTCTCCCTTTATATTTCCTCACTGCAAGATTGCCATCAACACCATGATCAATCAGCAGCTCAACTGTAAATTATACTCAATGCTACTAATGCTTACATAAACACCTATATACATTCCTTCATGGTTGAAGGTATATTATGCAACGCTTCCCTAAAGAATTAGTCCATTTGGTGAACTTACTGACTACAGTAAAAAGGGCAGGCTAAAATTTGTTTCTTTTGTTCCTCAGAATTTTATAACGAATAAATCTGCATATACGCGCAAATAGGTCACAAACATTTGTTTTTCATTGAAGTTCAGCATGCCATACTTTCAAAGGGTCTGACCTGTGGGTGTATTGAAGTAGACCATGGTATAATTGGTGAGCGAAGCGAGCCTACTTATTTGTTTCAATGTTCTAACGCTAGTTCTACGATATTCTAAATATGCGCAAATCATACGCGAAATATCCAACTGCTCCTGCTCACTAGCCAATAATGTAAGTAATTAGGTCAAGTAGACCAGCAGCTAGCTCAGCAGATCAGTTAGGCACTGTTTAGTTTAAGTTACATAACCAAGCTTGCAAAAGATTTGTGGCTAGGACGATCAGTAACTCAAGTAGAATGCTTTAAAATTTAAAATGAAAAGCACACAAGTGCAAACCCTCGGCGAACTGCGCATGCGCGGTACCGCTAATTGATGGGCGGGGGGGATATAAGGTGTTTACTCGTTGTCTCCCGCTGGTAGCTCAGGAGAGTCTGACAGGGGCTAGCGACAGTAGTAGATAGCTTGCGTGAGTCGATACACGCCCTTCGTTGTGACTTTTGCCTTCGAGATACACAGAGTGAGCAGACCTGGTCGAGGTATGCCTGTGCTAATTAGCATATTGGCTTGTTGACACCATAACTCTCGAATGCAGAACTTTCAACGAAAATCGCCATTTTAAAAATGAAGCCAGTGTAGTGCTGAACCCGTTGGTGTCGCTTTTTTGACCTGTATGTTGCGCGTGGAGGCAGAAAACGTGGTAACAGATGGACAGACGGACGGACAGACAGACCAAGTACTCGCTGCGCATGCGCGCTGAGGGTTAATGAATAGTACAGAACGAAAAAAACTGAGTGACATATAAAGGCAAGTGTGTGGCAACCAAGGAATGTAAAAAACATCACGTATGAACAGAAATACTCAATGCAATCTTGGCTCTCGGGTTTCTACTGCGCGTAGTTACCTCGAATCAGCGTCTATTTGACCTATGAAATGAGTAGGCTATGGTAATGGAAGCACCAGGTGCTAATGCCTCGGTACGCGCATTGGCACGTACGGAGCTGCGCATACTAAGGAGGTTTGAAGTGTTTGTAACATTATGCAACATCACAATATTTGCTGAGTCAGCAGCGGAAACAAAGTCTTTGCTTGAGGCAAATCCAAACGAGTACCGGAAAAGGTTTATAGGTTGGTAAATCTACGAGGATACTGATGAGCTGCCCTACCCTGGTCTACCCCTTCTATCCGTGAGATACAGCGTGAAGTAAAAAATGATCTGTGCCACTCGGTATAACTGAGCTAAGCTGCTTTCCGCCAAATAGTGCTTCCTCTGAATTTCGAGCTATGTGCTAAACCTGACGATAAACTTTTGGGGTTGGAACCCATGTGGCACATTCCTCGCATTCCTTTACCCAGTTTCCTGCAGGATCGTTTTTAACCTCCTCTGCTGCACGCAGACCACACTCACTCTAGCTAGATTTTAAAAGACGACTAACTGTGCCTGCCAGCACATTGTGTCCCACCGGAGACTTTTGTTACTATGCATCGCCTTTAAAGGACCAAAGTAAAATGTATCATCTTGACAGTCTTTTTGGCGCTGTATCTTAAACATTTTCAACACCAAGCACATTCCAGGAAACTTAACAGTAGCTTGATGCATAGCTTTTTTTGCTGTTTTTTACAATGCAATAACCCCCCTTTGATTTGTCTTGGACACATTTCAGTTTATAGCTGTAGTCTCAACCTGAGATTGCCCATATCTAAGCTTCTAATGTTCTCCCCAAAGATAGACAAATACCACTTGGGGATTTCCATCAATATCGACAACCTCTGCTTGTTTTGTCTGTTCTTCGTCTGTTTATGTGTTTTCGGCGGCACCCGAGATAAATACTAATAAAGCTGAAGCATTGCTGAATCTATAACCTCGTAGTTGCAAGCTGCAATAGGGGCCCAGCGAAAGATTTTTTCTGTTTTTAGTAACAGTTTCTATATACAGCCCTTGTTTACTGCCACGTTCCCTTTATTATGAAAAATTGGGTAGCGTTTAAAAAGGTTCTGTAAAAGAGAGGGTTGTGCAAGACACAAAAGGTATGAAGTATAATGTGAGAAACAGTACGGAAGGACTTGCAAAATCAATCAAACAGCATTTGAATGCTAGAGATAATCAGGAAAGGGCTGCTCGCCACGAACAAGTCAACTGCACCCAGACAGCAGAGACTGCACCCCCTCAAAACTTTGTTAAGCTAATGAAACGGCTTGCAAAAGTTCCACCCCTGAAAGACCTCCGTAGCCCTGTGTGCAATTTATTCAGACCCCACACTCTTTTGTGACCTGTCAGGGAAATCTTTTCCCCTTAGCACCATGGAGAAACACTTTACGTCGTAGCCATAGAGGAAGTACACTACACATGTATCAATAATCTGAAAGGGTCAGCTGAAGCATTTTTGGCTTAACTTACCAAGTACTCCCAAAAGGTTTGGCCTGGCCTGTATGCATCATAATTATGATCTGAGCTGGACTTAGCACCATGGAGAAACACTTTACGTCGTAGCCATAGAGGAAGTACACTACACATGTATCAATAATCTGAAAGGGTCAGCTGAAGCATTTTTGGCTTAACTTACCAAGTACTCCCAAAAGGTTTGGCCTGGCCTGTATGCATCATAATTATGATCTGAGCTGGACTGGATCCCAGAATGTATTAGGGCCAAGCGGAATAGGGATGAGGTGCATTGATAAATTCAATCAGAGCACACTGTGTGAGTGCTAAACCCGAGGTGCCATAGTGGTGTTTCAGATGTGTTGCTATCGATAGCAGAAAATATTGACTGGACCTTGCTCTACTTTCGAGTTGTTTTGAATGCCGGCTTGCAAGGATATTAAGCGCCAGCCTGTTGCTCAACTGGACATTGTGGCTATCGGGGCAGGCCGGTTTATCAACTAGACAATGGTTAGGCATCCAGATAAAACATGTACACAACAATCAGCCCAGTTCCACCTTGCATTACCTTCAAACCCAACACAGGTAGGCAATTCTGAATTATAATTGTAGGCACTTCCAGGCTTCATTCTCAAGGTAAAAGTGGGTATTTGTTATTGGATTGCCGATTAATCGTCTGGACAGATTTGGCATTTGGGCAAACAAATCGAACAACAACTCGAATCCAAGACAAGGTCCAGTCAATATTTTTTGCCATCACTCAGCCACACACCTGATGAAAACGTCAATATTGGCACCTCGAGTTTTAATACTCACACGGTGTCCTCTGATTTAATCTATCCATGCCTAGACCTAATCAGTCTTGGATCCAGTCCGGCTCAGTTTATAATCGTGATGCATATGTTGCAGTTATTCAGTTTAACCAGAGTATTGACACACATGTGTAGCGTACTTCTGCCCCAAGCTGGATGTGAATTGTGTTTCTAGTCTTTTTCAGCATGCGAGCAAAATGGCAAGTGTGACAGGATTTCTTACAAAACGGTTTACCACAGCACTTCCAAAGGTAAGATCCACAGCTTGAATGAAAACTACCTAGGGCAGCATGTGCTGTTTTTGCTGAACAATGGGTACAACAGTACCTTAGCATAGGAAATGAACTTAGGAGTTAAGGTACGAGGGAATTCTATGTGTGGGGGCGGTGTGAGGCGGAATGCTCCATTGTTGGGAAGAAACGAAGTGTTGTTCGCTAACACTTTAGCTTCTCCTAGCAACGGCTCAGAAGCCACTGTTAAAGTGTTTCTTTTTTTCCTTATATATCTGCCAGCCAGTTATTTCATCCGGAACACAGAAGAGATGGAGTACCTTTTTCGATGCTTTTGGCTAGATTGGTTTCATGTCCTGTAGACAAGCTGAATAATCGTTCAGGCTTTGTTTTACCATTCCCATTTAGTACTACGGGACCAGAAAAGTTGTACAGTTGTTACATGCACGCACCCAAACATGCATTCAAAAATAATTTCTTTGATGCAAAAGTTTAAGGACATGAGTGGGCAAACAAATGGCCTCAGAATCTGGCATTAAAACATATTTTAAATAGCTGCAAGACATTTTACAAGTGCACAAGTTGTCTAGATGTGTACAGTGCCGGACATTAAGGTGCTTTGTAGTCCAACCCGGTGCTAGGAATATACGCTGTATTCTGAGCTGTGGGCTGAGGGCTAACCAATATCAGTATTGGACAGGAAGTCCTTATTACAACATAAGCCTAGCACTAGATGTTGTGATAAGGATATCCTATACGATAACTAATACATAACTCCATTCCTTGGCCCATATCTTGGTCATACTGCTAGCAATCCATACAAGTTACATACTAGGGGAATACAGTGCATTTTTGGCAAGCGAATCGAGCATTTCAAAAGTTTTCCTCATAATATTTTGAATTGCGTTTATATTATGGTGCATCTGTTCACCGTTACATATATAAATTTATGCATCTACAATGTAACCTTCTGTGCCTGGGTTGCCGTTAGCATGTATGTAGTGGATGTACTGTCACATACAGCTACCCACCTAATGTATTTCTGTAGGATTTTGTCATGGTGTTCCGACAGATGATTTGACTGTACTGAAAGGATGTGTTTCAAGGAACAGGGCTCTTTTCTCCCCGACTTCATCAGTAGGCAAACCCTCAATTCAAGCAAGGGATTTTAAAACAACTGGAACCTGGCCAGATCTTATTTCTTCACCTCAAATAAGGTCCTCAACTGCTGCAAGATATCCTTCTCCAGATATATCGAGTCCTTCTGAACCAAACTTGCATTGTCTTACTGATATGCCATTTTCTGTGAGCGTCCAGTTTTCAAAAGGAAGGCGCAAAGATTATGGGAACACACTGCACAGCAGTCCAGTCTCTACGTCATCCCTGCCAATAAACCACACACGTCATTGTGAGTGTAGTACATCAACTAATAAGGCTCGTTTACGTTTCGATGTCGCAAACAGCATAAGCATTCCCAGTGGATTGAACTCAAGTTTGAAATCATATATTATAAAGGATCCTTTAAGCCAAAGTCGCTCTAATAGCTCTTGTGTATCAGAGAAGTCAGACCAACACCATTTGCTGAATGTTCCATTTGGTCGCACTAATTCTCTTGACAGTCAGAAGCCAGCAACTTCCCACTATAATCAAGCCCACCGAAAAGGTACAGCTTATATTCTACATGGGTGTGCTTTGCCATATTTAGTATTGTGGAGGGCAGTGATATGATACAGTATAGCGCATGAATAGGAAATAATCACAGTAGTATAGGAATGAGAAGGGTTCTGCAGCATCATGTGCATACTTTGTACAAATTGATCACACGGTTGTTGATATAATATGTGTACTTAAAAATATATAGTCATCGATCACTTCAAAAGTGCATTTTTATGTTGTTGTTGTTGTTTTTGTTGTCGTGTTCACATATTAATAGAGAAACTGAACTCTGCACACAGTTATTCAATGTCATTTTGGAGCTAGGTGATATTAATTGAACAATCTGATTATTCCCTGCACATACTCTAATTGTGTGGAGCCTGGAACTTCTACAGCACTTTGAAGCTGATAAGTAGAGTCCAGAAAATATAGTTCTACAGTAGTACATGTACTTTAAACATGTTCCTAAGCATTTTGTGAAAGAGCAAGACAAGCTCATTGTCCTTTGCCTCTCATTGGAGAAAGTAGCGCTTGTTCACCATTTAAGTTGTACTGAATGAAAGAGGTACAAGCATCACGAGATTTGGGGTGAAGAAGTGATTTAGGAAGAGTTCCTGGGGCTATTCTTTTGGTTTACAAACAAGTGGTCGTCATGGAGTTTTGTAATATGCATTCATACCAAGTTTTATCTTCATGCGTGCTACCGTTAGCAAGTTTGAGGAGTGAAGAATAGTGTCTGAGGCTCTTGGTTGTTGTTCAAACGATATGTTGTCGTCATGGAACCATGTAGTTGTCATAGAAATGATGTGATACCCATGCGTACCAAGTTTCACCTCTATGCGTGCTACCATTAGAAAGTTTGAGGAGGGAAGAGGAAATTTAAAGAAAAGTGCCTAAGGTCATTTGTACTGTTGTGTTTTTGATGTTGGTGATTGACTTCATTATGTACAAGTAAATTAAAAATCTTGCGAATTTAAAAAAGAGGCATATAGGGAAAGTATAAAAAGAAAGGGAGACAAGATAGGGATGGTATACATGAAGCATGGCCAATGAACAGATTTGAGTACGTTGACACCATGACCACATCACACAATCCCTATATTGTTGCCTGGTGTGCCACTCGTAAACTCCATTTTGTACTCAGTAGGATGACTTTTTTAGCTGTAAGTCCTGACTATTGTGTAATGTTGAATGTTAAATACATCACCTAGGCAACAATGTATGGATTGTGTGATGGGGTCGGGGTGTCAATGTGCTCAAATCTGTTCATTAACCATGCTTCATTCCTCTTTCTTTAAATTCGCAGGATTTTTTATTTACCTGTCTCCACTCATTTTTATATACTACTACGTATACCTCTGTGAAAGGTGGGAAGCCCCTATAAAAATTAATAATAGAGAAAGATGCCTGTTGTCGTCATGGAAATTATTTAATACGCATGCGTATCTGAGGCTATTTGTCATTATGTGGTCGTCATGGAAGCGATGTCATACGCATGCATACCATTAAGTTTCATCTCCATGGGCGCTACCGTTAGTAAGTTTGCACAGTGAAGAAGTAAATGCCTGAGCCCATTTTCGTTTTGCAATTAATATGTGGTCGTCATGGAAACGCATGCGTACCAAGTTTCATCTCCATGCGTGCTACCGTTATCAAGTTCGATGAGTGAATAAGCAATTTTAAAGGTTATGCAGGAAACGATGTAATACACAAGCGTACCAAGTTGAGAAATGAAGAAGTAATTTTAAAGAAAAACACTATTTGTCAAATGACAAGCACTGAAGTGCAAACTGTCGGCGAACTGCGCATGCGCGATACCACTAATTGATGGGCTGGGCTATTATTATGCATTTACTCGTGGTCTGAGAGCTAGCTACAGTAGTAGATAGCATGCGGGAGTCGATACACGCCATTCATTGTGACTTCATGTGCCTCCAAGGTACACAGAGCAAGCGGACCCAGTCGAGGTAAGCCTGTGCTAAATTGCATATTGGCTTGTTCACTTGGTTTTCACGCCATAACTTCTGAACGCGGCACTTTTACGAAAATCGCCATTTTAAAAATGAAGCCAGTGTAGCACTGAACCCATTGGTGTCGCTATTTTACCTGTTTGTTGCGCGTGGTGGCAGAAAACGTGGTAACAGACGGACAGACCAAGTACTGTAACCCTCGCTGCGCATGCGCGCCGAGGGTTAACAATATGAGGTTGCCATGGAACATGTAGTTGTCATGGAAATGATGAAATCCACATGCGTACCAAGTTTCATCTCCATGCATGCTACAGTTAGCGAGAATTGCCGGAGGCTATTTGTTGTGGTTCAAACAATAAGTTGTCGTCATGAGTTATCATGGAAATGATGTAATACCCATGCATACCAAGTTTCACCGCTATGCGTGCTAACATTAGAAAGTGTGAGGAGTAAAGAAGTTGATTTTAAAGAAAAGTGCCTGAAGCTATTTGTTGTTGTTTACAAACATTGATTTTGATGTTGGTGATTGAATACATTATGTATACAAGGTTTCGTTCACATATCTCTTACCATTTTCAAGTTAGACTGACACATGTGATTCCATTATAATATGTATTACCTGGCTATTTTGTTGTCCCTAAGTACGGTAGTACTTAGTATCACTAAGTACGGTAGTACTTAGTATACAAAATCCTGCGAATTTAAAAATAGGAAAGAAAAGGAGACAAGATAGGGATGGGATACATGAAGCATGGTTAATGAACAGATTTGAGCACGCTGACACCCCCACACAATCCCTATATTGTTGCCTGGTGTGCTACTCTTATAGGGGCTAAAAGCAAGCATTCTTTCACCATGTCCCTGTTGTTTTTAGTAACATTTATACTGCCACATTGGTTTCATCTCTATGTGTGCTACCATTGGAGAGTTTGAGGAGTGAAGAAGTATATTTAAAGAAGTGCCTGAGGCTATTTGTTGTTGTTTACAAACATGTATTGTTGTGTAATTTTGATGTTGGTGATTGAATACATTATGTCTATAAAGTTTCGTTCACATAGCTCTTACCATTTGTGAGTTATACTGACACATGTGATTCCATTATAATGTATTTCCTGGGGCTATTTGTTGTTGTTTACAGTTAACGATGTTGTTTACAAACAAATAAGTATGACCAGTCTCTTCGGGTGATGGGATATCTACATTGTTACAAAATTTCATTACTTTATGTTGTTTCGTTTTTGAGTTATGGGTGTTGAATCTGAAGAAGAAGATGGAACAAAACTCCCTATCATAGCCCCATACATCTATGATGCTAGGTACCATGCCAATCCCTATACAGTACTTAGACCGCAGTCACGCGCGCGCAATTGACTAATCAGATTACAGAATTGCGGGGGGTTTATTTTTCATAGACACCTCATTTCAGGGCGTTTGCAGGTGGTCTACAGCAAAACTCACCGTACAAAATGGCTATTCTCAAAAGTCGTTATCTGCGCAAACCGGCCGATTCCGCGTTCGGTAAGCGTAGAAGGCGCGACTGGTAAAGTAGCTCTTTTAAAATGCGTAGTGCACCTGCAAGAAGTCTGTGGACAGTCTCCCGAGCTCGCGAAAGTCAGAAATCACGTCAATATTCCACGAAAAAAGCGTCGGCTTCTTCAGCTCTGGCGATACACAATCACATTGGGCCGTTGCCGTGCGTTGCCAAACGCGCACCACCGCACCAATGAGGGCGTTTTATGATGACGTAAACGATTTTTTACGGGGGCGGGGGCGGGGGCGGGGCGGGGTGGGGTGAAGTGCAGTGCAGTGTGCGTGATGATATGCACGTACGTATATGTGCTGCAGTACAGTACAGTGCGAGCGTGCGTGCGGTGAGTATAGAATAGTTCAGAGTTCGGTGAGCAGCACGTGGAGGTCAGTCGGACTAGTCAGAGTCGTAGATGGAAGGCGCCGTGGCCCCGTAGCTGTGGCGGCGGAGGGTCCGGGGGTCGTCGTCGTTGTCGTGGTGGTGGTAGAAGGAGGTGGGGTTGGTCCGGTTGCGCGCTGCGCTACTAGAAGGCGTGGCTTCCTTTGTTGACTCGTAGGCGTCGCTAGCGGCTCTGACGACTGTCTCCTCGGAGGCGGACATCATTTCCAAAATCTCACACGTAAAAAAGCGTCTTGTTCCATCCGAAGGTAAGAATGAGCGCAGCGTTGCTAGCTTGTTGCTACCCATTTGAACGCGCAAACACCAATCAGATACTTCGGTCAGACGCGGAAGCTCGGTGTACATTGCAACCCTCGGGGCATGTGGGTAGCGCCCTCGCTGCGCTCGGGACGCCAACATTCCACAGCCCCTCGGGTTGCAATGTAGCGTAGACACCTCGCTTCCGCGTCTAACCTATATGGATTGGCATGGTACCTAGCATCATAGATGTATGTGGCTATGATAGGGAGTTTTGTTCATCTTCTTCTTCTCCATCTTCAGATTCAACACCCATAACTCAAAAAACGATACAACATAAAGTAATGAAATTTTGTAAGAATATAGTTATCCATCACCCGAAGAGACTGGTCATACTTATTCCTTTGTAAACAACAACAAATAGCCCCAGGCAATACATCATAATGGGATCACATGTGTCAGTATAACTCACAAATGGTAGGAGCTATGTGAACGAAACTTTATAGACATAACGTATTCAATCACCAACATCAAAATTACAACAATGCATGTTTGTAAAGAACAACAAATACCCTCAGGCACTTTTCTTTATATTTACTTCTTCACTCCTCAAACTCTCCAATGGTAGCACACATAGAGATGAAACTTGGTAAGTATGCCTATTATATCATTTCCATGACGACCGCATTTTGTTTGAAAAAGCCTCGGGCAAAATTTTAAAACCACTTCTTCACTCCTCAAACTTGCTAATTGTAACACGCATGTAGGTGAAACTTGGTGGGCATGTGTATTGCATCGTTTCCATGACGACTGCAACAACAAATAGCCTCAGGCAATTTTCTTTAAAATTATTTCTTCACTCCCCAACTTACCACGCATGGAGATGAAA